TTGCATTCATATGCTGATTTTCTTTGTACACATTTAAAGATATATATATATATTTCTCCTGTTGATAGTGCAACAGTGTATGTAGACTTGATCAACTTGAGGAGGTTGATAGTATCAGGTGGTGAACCAGGAGATAGGATACCACTTGATAAGCTGATGGTAGAGTTCTGGTTGTGTTGGAGTGCAACCCGATTGTAATATTATAGAGTATCGGATTCATTATTATTATATGTGTATGTATTGTGTATGTGCTTTGTCCAGTAAATGTATCCCAATTTGCTGGTGTTTGCCCTTGTCCTAGTGAGGCTTCCCATGAAATAGTACAGAAGAAGAGAGAGAGAGAGAAAGAAACAAGAACCACTGCTGTGAACAGGGTAGAAGGTACTACTAATAAGTCAAAAGGGGATTGAGGAGATCATATCACCTAAGGAGAGAGTGGGGAGTCACAGCGGCTCGAGTGGGTGTGTGCACGTGACAACGAGGCTAAGTGTTGGAGCCGCATCCCTTAAACGTGTGACGTTGAGCCCCTCTCCAAGAGCCAGAAGCGCCAAGGGTGATCTCCTAGGGAGGTATAAGCACTCTACCGAGTTGTGGGTTGGGTTGTCTGCAAAGGAGGAACAACGACGACAACACCACCAACCCACAGTCTATAATAAATTGGGGGCCTGTGTCCGGGAGAGTGAACTGACACACCCACACCCTGTCCAAGAGTGGATTTGTACACCCTTGCTGAAATATACTGCGTGACCGCAGGTGTATATTCTCTCTCTTGGGAAGACTCACAGGACAAAGATGGATAAGGTGCAAGCGTTTGTGGAGTCAGGCAAGCCTGAGGACTTGGAAGGTTGCACGAGGGATCAATTGAAGCAAATAGCAGAAACATGTGGCATTAGGTTGAAAGCATCTAAAGTAGCTGGGATGAAGGATGAGATCCTTAGACAGTTGAGAGCCAGAAGTGAAGCGGCAGAGCAAGGAGCCCAAAAAGGAGCTGAAAGTGGAAAGGAGGATGATGGGCAGGATGAAGTGAGATCCCAGGGATCAAGTAGGAGCAGCAGGAGTAGCCGCAGTAGCAGGAGTAGCCGAAATAGGAGCTTGGAAAGGTTCCAGTTAGAGCTCCAGATGCAGCGTGAGGAGAGACAGTTCCAGCTGGAAAAGATGAAATTAGAACTCCAGATGAAAAATGAAGCCGAGAAGGAAAAAGAGAAAACCAGACTGGAAGCAGAAAAAGAGAAAACCAGACTGGAAATAGAAAAAGAAAAAGCCCAGGTCGAAAAAGAAAAAGCCCAGGCCGAAAAAGAAAAAGAGGAAACAAAACAAATGCAGATAGAAGCGAATAGAACCTTGGCTGAGCAAAGGATTGAACATGGGTTGCCAGAGAGCACCACCCAGGTATCACACCCACCAGATGTTAGGGTTAGGGAGAAGGACATTCCCTTGTTTGTTCCCGAAGAGGCGGAGAGCTTCTTCGAGCATTTTGAAAAAGTAGCCAGCATCAAGGAGTGGCCACAGGAGGAATGGGCCCAGCTGGTTCAGTTAAGATTGACCCAATTGTCACTGGAAGAGTGCCAGGATTATGCCACAGTAAAGAGCAGCATATTGCGCTCGTTTCAGTTAACCCCCAGAAGCTTATAGGAAGCGCTTCAGAGAGATGATCAAAGTTGGAGCATGTACTTTTGCTGAGACAGCAAGGGATCTGGAAAGACGATTCCAGAAGTGGATTGAGGCTGCTGGAGTTGGATCTTACGCTGACCTGAAGCAACTGATAGTCAAGGAGAAGTTCTTGGAGATGATGCATCCCGAAACAAAGTTCAAGATCCAAGAAGCAGGGATAAAGGAGGTGAAAAATGCCGCAGATAGGGCGGATATGATTACTGAAGCGTACAAGAGCTTAAGGGAGAACAGAGTGAGAAGCGATGCGAGACGCAGCAATAGCAGACCCAGTGGAGTCTGGGGAGGAAGAAATTATGAAAGACCCAGAGGAGTCTGGGGTGAGAAGAATTTTGATAAATGGGCAGATAAAAATAAGTACCCTAAAACTCAGAAGAGTAGGTCGCGCACTTCATCTGAAAGTGAAGATGGAGGAGCTAAACGAGAAACTAATCGTTATCCAGGGAATCAAGAGTCCAGTAAAGCTCCACAGAGTACGAGTAGTACGTCTGGCCCGACAAACTCCAATACGAGTGGGTAGAGTCAGAGCTACTCTGGTACATATAGGAGAGATTTCTCCCAGGTGAGATGTTACAATTGTAACGGATTGGGTCACGTAATGCGAGATTGTAGGCAGGGCAAGAGAGTTGTGACCCTGGCCATGTGTGACCCCCAAAGTAAATATACTAATGTGTTCCAAGACAAACCACAGAGAGCGAACTTAGTGAACGAGAGGTATAGGCCGTTCATGAGTAAAGGTTGGATCAGTATAGGAGGCCAACCTGAGGTAGAAGTTGGTATCTTAAGAGATACCGGAGCTAATCAGAGCTTGATTACGAGAAGCCTGATTGGGAATGGTCGACGGTTAGCTGGCAGTGGGAAGATGAAAGTATATGGGTTATTGTCTGAAAGTGACATGCCCGTTTGTACTGTCCAGCTAAGGTCGGAATATGTGTCGGCAGAGGTGATGTTGGGATATTGTTCTGCATGAGTAGCGAATCTTAAACAACAACAACAACATTCCCTCATCCACAAACCATGTCTCCCGCATGACGGGAGACATCTCCCGTCACGCAGGGTGCAGTCGCACCTCCACAGATCTCCAGTATCAGCTAATGATACTGGTAATGGCTCAAAAGGGCCACCACTTACGGGCTATTTATGCCCGTGCCATCTTTTAGGTGGCTTAATCTTCATCAATCAATCAATTCCCTCATGGAGGGAAGGAGATGAGTTTCTTTTTTATGGTTACGGGCTCACCATAGCCCGTGCTACATGGACACTTCGTTCTGAGTAGCTAAATCTAGAACAACAACAACATTCCCTCATGGAGTTACAGCCCTGCTCCTGTGCCAGGTAAGTCTACTACGGGCTCACCATAGCCCGTGCTACTTTGCAACGTTTGTTCTAATTAAGTAGCTTAATCTAAAACAACAACAACAACAACAACCTCCCTCATCACAATCAACTTGAGAATGGTCCAAGACGGACCGAAACGTCGTCGTCCCTTTCACTTCACTTGTGGATTGGTCAACATACTTCAGCCACGTTATTCAGGTACACATTCTCACCCTTAACATTGACAAAACTTTCTATATTCTGTTTGGCAATAAATCCTCTAGTCAAATAAATCTCAAAATAAACAATACCCAAATTTGTAACAAATTAGATGGCAAATTCCTTGACATTCTCATTGACCACAAGCTTAATTTCCAGGGACACATTCTAAATATATCAAAAAAAGTTTCAAAAACTGTGGGCATTCTTTCTAAGATCAGATATTATGTACCACGCCCTGCCCTGGTGACTCTCTATTACTCCCTTATCTATCCATATCTCAACTATGGTATTTGTGCTTGGGGCTCTACTACCCAAAATCACTTACGTCCTCTAATTACTCAACACAAAGCTGCTATTAGGACAATATCCAATTCTGGCCCCAGACATCACTCGGTACCCCTACTTAAATCTCTGAATATGTTAGACATTAAGTCACTGCACATTCTCTCATGTGTATTATACATATATAAAACGCTAAACTATAATCCCAATCCTGATCTCAAAAGCTTCATAGAAGGTTGTATCAGAGCCTATGAGCATCACACCAGAAATAAATACAGTTTTGATATTCCTAGAGTACGACTTAATCAAACTAGAAATGCTCTACAAATCAAGGGGCCCAGAATGTGGAATGACCTTCCCAACCATGTTAAAGACTGTACCTCTCTCAACCAGTTTAAGTTAAAAGCGAAGCTATACCTAATAAATTCCCTGTAACCTACCTTACCCTTCTATTGTCAACCAATGTCTGTTTTTTTCTTTAAAGAGCGCTGTTTGTCGACATAATTGTATTTGTGCTGCTTTTTCATCTATGTTTTCATTTCTTGTTTTCATTCTACTCATTATGCTCAATTAGTATTAAACTTGTCATTTAAGTGTATCATGCCCGAAACGCTTTGCGTAATAGTGGCTTTAGGCATTGTATATACTAGCTCTACCTATAAGTCAAACAATCCTTGTAAATATTTATTGTATGTATGTACCTTACCTAAATAAAATTGTATTGTATTGTATTGTATTGTATTATTATATAACCCACGGAACCGCCTACACGCCGAAGCCGTAAATACAAAATCTCTGTTTTTGGAGTTTAAAACACAACTTGAAAAGATCATCAGGGCAAATGATGACGACCTTTGACAAGCCTTCCTGTCCTCGTCGAGGACAGGAAGGTAAATTCAGGTAAACCCATAGAACTGCATACCCGCCGAAGCCGTAAATGCCAAAACTCTATTGAATTTTAAAATCCAACTGTAAAAGATCATTGGTATTTGGAGGGGGAGGGGGGCATTTGACAAGCCGCCAGCTTCCAATCCTCGCCTAGGTCACTAACTAGTGTAGTAGGCTTCAGGTAAATTATAGATAGAAATCGGCATTAATTGGACCTATTTTTGCATCTAATTAAATCAAACTATATCGTTGTTGGCTTGAACCGACGTAATTTAGCGTGTCAGCGCGTATTCTACCAATTGCAATTGGTAGAATAATATATATGTTGTTGGTAGAATAATATATATGTTTACCAATAATAAAAAATAACAAAATATTGTAAAATCAATTTTAATAATATTAGAGTCCGGTTGATGGCATCCACACTTGGGTTCCCCAGCCAAAAGGTTCATTTCCGGGTCCTGTTAATGATAAACTTACCTCTTAGTAATTCCTTTCTCCTTAAAATTTGTGCACTATAAATTTATATATATATATATATATAAAAGCCTCAATTGCAATTTGATAACTTTATTTAATCAATAAAATTTACTTTGACTAAATAAAACTATCATAAATATCTATTAGAGAGTATGTATGTATGTCGGGAGCGATCAGCTGAGGAGGAAAACAGCAAGAGGGAAGACCAGCCATGCCCAGGGTACCGTACAGGGATGTCTCTCCTTTCCTGCGATATGTTCGCAACTTACTTCTCGGGGTATGTACCCAAGGGTGTTTAGGGTCACGCTGTAGGAGTGTGTGTATACATTACCTCGACCAGTGCTGCATGCAAACTACATAGTCTTCCGCTCTACTTAACTCCTTCCGCCTCCTACTTAACTACTACAGATTTCTCAGGAATCTGTACACCAGTTGATTGACAGTTGAGAGGCGGGACCAAAGAGCCAGAGCTCAACCCCCGCAAACACAACTAGGTGAGTACTCCTTTTAGGATGGACCTACAAGCCGCCGGCTTCCTGTTCTCGTCGAGGCCACTAGGGTTAGTGGCTCTCGGGTAAATCAGGTTAACGCTATAACCGAAATGCTATGCATGATAGTGGGCCTTGGAAGAATGTAGAAAATACCAATATTATGTAATCTCAAACCCTTTGTACCTTCTTGTAAATAAATTATTATTATTAATGCCTGTGGGTTGTTTGGAATGACTTACAATTCATTTTGTAGGGGACAGGCAGCCTGTGTTTGAATATGTTAGGTTTATAGCGGGGTCACCCCAGGGTCGAACCACTGACCCTTCTCGGGATGCAACCCCAAAACAGTTGACTAACTCCCAGGTACCTATTTACTGCTTGGTGAACAGAGGCATTAGGTGTTTGGTAACATGCTCGACCGTTTCTGTCCCACCTGGGACTCGAACTCGGGATTCCCGATTGTGAGTCAAGAACAAACATAACTATACTACTGAGACCCTATACCTTGTATCCCTTCTGCCAGTCAACTTGGCAAATTGCATTACTACAGGCATGACTTAAATAATGAAATTTATGATTTTTAAATTTGTGAAGTGATTTGCTAAACCTAACTAAAACCGGCCCCTCCCAGCATTATAATATTGGAGATTGTTGTAGGTTTTTAGCTCATCACAGCCACTCATATTTATTAAACCTTCACTTTGAAACAATCCAGTGACATGGTCTGTTATGTTCCCAGGTAATGTGTTCCATAAATCAACAACCCTATTTCCAAATCTATACAGGTCACTTCATACGCAAGATGGTTTGCCAACTAATTTCAAAACCTTCCCAACTCAGCCCAAACCACACCTAGACTAACCTAACCCCAACTGACCAATTAGAAATGCCATATCAATTAGAAAACAAGCATGTTTGTAACACCACTTTGATTTGATTTACCCCTTTCCACACCAGTTATTGCTTAAATATTTTCTAAATCTAAACATCTAATGTGTTTCCATTCAATTGATTCTATTGTTTCTATTGGTTTATTTGGCACTATAAATATCCACCTTGTTATACCATTTCATTAAGTGTTATACTTCAATTTACCCACCTTACTCTTCACCTTTCTAGAGAATGTAAATTAAGCTATCTAAAGCTCTTCATTAAAGCTTTCTAATTTCTGGGATTAACTTTGTATTCTATAAAAAAAAAATCTGTTGTTTTTTACAGTGGATTTGTAAAATCCACTACAATTTTTTTTTTACAGTGAATGTACAGTGTTTTACAAGTACAGTGCCCAAAACAAAACTAAATAGGTTGATCTAATTGGGGGCATAATTAAGGCAAAATAATGTTGGAGAATAACATTGCCTATCTTTGACCAGACCACACACTAGAAGGTGAAGGGACAATGACGTTTCGGTCTGTCCTGGACCATTCTCAAGTCGATCGACTCGACTTAAGAATGGTCCAGGACGGACCGAAACATTGTCGTCCCTTCACCTTCTAGTGTGAAGGTGACCAGCCTTCTGGTCAAATTACTTTATTTATTTATTTATTTATTTATTACTTAAGGTCTGGTCAAATTACTTTAGCCACGTTATTGTGACTCATCGCCTGCATTACCTATCTTATTATTAACAGCTGTTATTAATAAAAGTATTTTAATTACCATTTTTTTAACATTTGTACATTGATATGTACAAATTATATGTACATTAGCCTAGGCTAAGGTCTTTTAATTATGACTCAGATTTTTCTTGCATTTGGGTTTGGCAATTTCAATGTTCAGCTGATTCCTGGTTTGCTAGGCACACATTTGCCGCCGTATGAGATGCGCTCTATTTTTAATTGTATAAAAAAATTGCCCTGCATCTAATGCGGCCGTATTACGGATGGGGAGCCGAGCGGACAGCATGCTGGACTTGTGATCCTGTGGTCCTGGGTTCGATCCCAGGCGCCGGCGAGAAACAATGGGCAGAGTTTCTTTCACCCTATGTCCCTGTTACCTAGCAGTAAAATAGGTACCTGGGTGTTAGTCAGCTGTCAAGGGCTGCTTCCTGGGGGTGGAGGGCTGGTCGAGGACCGGGCTGCGGGGACACTAAAGCCCCGAAATCATCTCGAGATAACCTCAAGATAAAGTGTTCCCAAAAAATTCTTTTTTCTTCGTAAAATGATATTCCCTTTCCTGAGCATGTCTATGTAAAAATAAATACCAAATTCCACTTTGGCTGTAGGGACGTGGACAAGGTGCGCTGTGACGTCATCAGGGGCTGGTCGCCCGTGCATGACTAGCCCAGACACGGTCGAGCAGGCTATTCAAGCACCGGGTGTTGCCACACATATATTTTCATTTATTTGTTTATTTCCAATGCGGTTTTATTTGTTTTTATCGTATATGATGCATATTTGTGTCCTTTACAATATATATACAGTATGAACGTTCATAATGTTCCATGGAACTGTGATACATGTGTCAGTAATGTGTCCACAATAAATGTTTATTGTCGCAATATTACTTGTTAAAAATTCACTAAAATTACAATATGTACAGTTTCACACACTATTTACACAGTAACACATTGTATTACACACTCAGTACTTCGGAAGTTAGTAATAATCAACGAAGTAGTCCATGGTGCACAGCGCGACTTCGCTCTCAGTGCACCAGGTACAGATAAATTTTCGCTTCCTGTTTCTTCATTCTGTGTGCTTGCAAATAACGCACTCACGTACACCCTTGGCTTTAGTACCTGTAGGTTGTATGTAGCCAAGCTTGTAATGCATAAGGTAGTATTGAAAAGATTATAGGAAAAGATAAATTTGTAAGGTAGTCTCGAAAAGATCGCTTTGTATGGTCCCTCACAGGAAGAGATTCAGGAATTCTTGAAAATAGTTATGAAAAACACTACCATGGAAGTGGCTAACACTGTTCATCTATGCTACTTGTATCAGATGCATCATCACTGAACGCAGAAAACGATTCATCTATGTATCATCTAAATAAATTGGAGATAGCATAGGATTGCAAGGGTGACGCTCCAAGCTACAACTGGATATGCTAGCTGTATCGTCCTCATAGGTGCTGTGTCACTTGCATCTGACCTTTGTGTTAGGTCCTTATTTGCACCTAGCTTCACCAATATTATGACCCTTATGTTCTTCAAACAATAAGGTTTAAATTTCACTGACAGAGTTATCTTTCAACACCGCGTTGGACAGGTGTTTGGGAGCCAGAGGCGCGTGCGCCACACATGGTTGCTCACTCAGTACTAACCAAGCCAGCAGCCCTAGGGCATTCTGGGAATTTTTACCAAGATGGCTGCCTCTCACTGGAGGTCCTAAGAGTCCATTTCGTACACAACCAACCTCGCACACATTTAGAATGGGCACGGAAAAATCAAAGAGAGTTTTCTTGGTTGGCGCAGTTTCCTGCCGACCAAGAATACTTGGTTGGCGCAGTTAAGTGGTTAATTAAACCATGCTCCCAATCCAGAAGATAAGATAATTATCTAATCTTCCAATACAATATGCCTCTACATTACTAATCAATCTTTTGTAAGGTAAATTATCAAAAGATTAACTGAAGCCGTGGTATATTCTGTTATAATCTTTTCAACTATCGACTGCTTTAAGTATACTGGAAAACAGTAAATTTATTTAAACATAACTGGCCCATAGTAAAGCCATGTTGTGTGGTCTTTATTAATCATTTTCTCAAGATGTGCATGTATGTCATTTGCAAATCTCGGTGATTTTTCAGAATATAATCAAATTAATAGGCTGATAGTTTGATGTAAGTAATTGATCCCAACTTCAGAATCGGCATCAGTTTCACAACTTGTCATGATTCCAGGGCTGCTTGAATTTAATGATATATGTATATACCGAAACGCTGTGCGTGCTAGTGGCTGTACAAGAATGTAAGAACTCTTGTATATAAAAAAAAAGTCATACCTTGATTATCCTAAGAGTAAACTACATATTAATATAAGAAATCGCTAAAAGCTTTTTAAGTTGCACTAGCAACAGGGAGCCACCAACAACATGCCAGAAAGAGGTGCTTCATTACATTCAACTTTTTATTTTCTTGCAGAGACTTTAATATTTTGTGACAGTACTGGACTGTGGCCTTCTGGACTTTGCACTTCATCTGCTTATTATTTTCCACTATAATAGTGAAAAAATTAACAGAAAAATTAACAGACTGTATCAAAATACAGAATGAGCAAATGTATCTTCAGGTATTTGCACTATTGCATTAAAAATAAATTTTGGCCCCCCACCCACAAAAAAAAAAAAAAAAAAAGTGAAGATCAGATAGTACAGAAGGATTCAGAACTCATTCTTCGACTTGAGTGGGAATCTACTGTACTTTCTGCATCTAACCAGTACATTATTTTGAATATTAAAAGTGTTATTCTATTACATTAAAATGTCTCTTGTGGTCCTGAGGAAAATTACTGTCTTCCACAAAATTATGTTGGGATATGTTATGGGGCTTGGCACCCCTTTGTTACCAGGTGCCACTGTTCACCATTGGGGGATGCACCTCAGTCGACCCACGGACCAGGGTTCCTCACCGAACCCGGCCATGCACCCTGCAGGGAATGATATAACTCAACCCCTCCCTAATCCCCTTACTTGAGTGTCCATAGACACAGGACTCGGGGATTACTCGGGTCAAGCTGCCCAACATAAAGTTTCCTAAACAAAGTCACCGACTCTGCTCGCCTCACATCAACAATTACTCTAAACTCGGTGGCATTTGTATCTCCCAGTCTAGCACTTTAAAAATAAGGTATAATGCCTAGTAAACACTTCATGATAACACATCAAGAAATAAAGGGGAAGAAGGAAACATGCCTAAAATCAATGGGTTTACATGGAGATAATTTACACTGGCTGTCGGCCCCCAATCACCCCATATGAGGCTGTCTTGTAAACACCAATATCGCTGGACATACAAAATATATTATGATGCCTCTTCAATAGTTTGTAGTCTTTCAGTCACTACTCCTCAACTCATGTCAATAATCACTGATACATATATCTTTGACAATGCTGTCAATGCCAAAGCTATTCCACCAAAATGTTTGATAAACACACTAATTTGTTATAACACCTTTCCTAACTAAAGGGAAAATGGGAGGGCAAATTTATCTACCTGACATGTCGTTACTGCAGCTCGAAGATTGTGCATCAGGTAGCTCCTCGTAAAATGTAGCTGCAGCTTGTAGATTCGGCATCAGACAGCTCCTTGTAGATGCACAATGGGTCAACGTCATATGAACAAACGATGGATGATTTTCTGAAAACCAGGATTGCAAACGATTCGGCTCCACACCGCTTCCAATGTACGCTGTTTGCAGGAATATCCAATACTCCTCCCAGCACTGTCAACAAGTTACTCAAGACCCTGCCGTCACCGAGTCCCTAGTGTCGTCCTCACACCAATAAGTTCTGCTACACTTCTCCCACAGGAGTTGACAGGTCTTCCTCCTCATTGGTGCACATCCGCTATCCAAATTATATCCCTCTGGAGGTTTAAATATTTCTCAAAATGGTGAGCACACAAGTACACTCCTTGGGTTGTTGATGCTTGGTTGGTCAGGCTGGGGGTGCATCATGTGTTGTCATTTCCTGCGCACCACGGCTTTGGTGGCCTGGGGAAATGCACTTTGGGTTGACCCGGTTTCCCTTCTTCCCTGTTCTAGGGTTTAGGTCTTCTAGGTCGTCAACTGAGTACTTCGGTCCAGCCAGCCTGCGGTCTATCCTCGTGCCCATGATGTTTGTAAGTTTGCTATGTTGGCGCTCGCCTGCTGGGTTTGTCCCTCTTGTGTTATCTTTGGGCAAGTAGCTCCAGGGAGCTGACCGGGCTCCCCCCCAGAAAATCAGCGATGAATCTAATTAAACGCCGTTTTCTGGGCGAGTCCGAAAGGCTCCCCGGCAACCCTCCCTTCCTCCGGTTGGTGTTTTTTTCTCGTGTTTTGACATGTAGCCGCAGAACTAGGGGTTTGGATAGCCAGTGCGGGGATCTAGGCTCCCCCCCTTCCCCCTCCCAAGGAGGAAGGGGGTTGCGCAGACAGCGGCGTGGTGACGTCATGCTCATTTTTCATTTGGGGAGTTCAGTCCACTAGTTCGGCTATCAGTAGCAATGTTTTAACCAGAATAGGGGCTTGTTTTGGGGCGCTTGCCTTTATGGGTGCCTGACCTGGTCGATGGCAGACATACTTCCAACCACACAGGGGGTTTTTATAGGCCATTGCTCCTCGTGCCTCTCTGAGGAGGGCCAGGTTCTGGCTCGTGGTCCCTGGTAGGCATAGAACTCCATGTGCATTGGCTCATGCCAGAATCTAATATATTCATATCAGCCCGGTTAGCTCCGGGTCTCATCCAGAAAATGGCATTTCATTACATTCAACGCTGGTTTTAGGACTTTGCCTGTAAGAATTTTGCATATCTGAATGTCTGGCTTATCTGGTGGTGGGCCCTAACCAATTAATTTGGATAAGTGACACACACACAGATCACACTAACGTGATGCATCAAATGAACAAATCCACAAGGGCCGTGACGAGGATTCGAACCTGTGTCCGGGAGCATCCCTGACACTGCCTTAATCGACTGAGCTACGACAGGGTTAAAAGGGTTGAAACCGAAGTTTTACTGAACTTACTCGATCCCGTAGGCTCTCCGAGGCACAAACCAGGCTTTTACACAACCCCCCCCACCCTCCCTGCACCCGAGCTATGTCAATAGGCCGTTCTCCCTCTTCACCCTTACATCATCACCTTGTGGATTTGTTCATTTGATGCATCACGTTAGTGTGATCAGTGTGTGATGATGTAAGAGCGAAGAAGGAGAACAGCCTATTGACATAGCTCGGGTGCAGGGGGTCGTGTAAAAGCCTGGTTTGTGCCTTGGAGAGGCTACGGGATCCAGTAAGTTCAGTAGAACTTTGGTTTCAACCCTTTTAACCCTGTCGTAGCTCAGTCGATTAAGGCAGTGTCTGGGATGCTCCCGGACGCAGGTTCGAATCCTCGTCACGGCCCTTGTGGATTTGTTCATTGGATAAGTGAACTTAGACAGTACTCTACAGTAGTTAAGGAAATTAATCTTGGGAAATTAAGGGTAATTTTCCTTTATGCTGCTTATATCATGTTTCCTAATAATTAGTTTCTTGAAAGTATCTTTTTAAATCATGAATTATCTGCTTACTGATATACAGTACTGTAGTTATCATTCTACATTTTATATTTTATTTACAGCGTGAACACAACAGCGCTCTGCGTCAAGCAGACATTATGGCTTGTCGTTCACAACCTCCTCCAAATTTACCACCAGGCGTGAGTGCCAAACTTGCTAATAATTATTACTACATGCGTGATGGCCGTCGAGATGTTCAACCAGTTGAAGTCTTGGCTATTAATTCCTCAAGTGGACCCACCAAACTGTTATCTGATACTCCAGAGTAAGTATTATAAGTCGGTTTATTTTGTTAAGCTTTATTAACACAAGCACAAAACGGTTTCTTTTTTCTTTTTTTCTGGGAGGAGCCCCTACGGCTCCCCGGAGCTATCCAGGCTGATAGGGCTAGTCCTAACTTTTGGCATCAGTCGACGTGAGTGGTGTTCTAGGCCTACCGGGGACCACGAACCAGAACCTGGCCTCCTCAGAGAGGCACGGGGCGCAATGGCCTATAGAATGCACATGGGATTTTGGAGCATTCTATATCTGCCATAGACTGGGACAGGCACCCAGAAAGGTAAGCCACACAAAACAAATCCCTATTCTGGTTAAAAACAACGAAAATAGACAAACAAGTGGACAGAACTCCCAAATTGAAAACGAGCGAACAAACATGTCATACGAGCCGCATCACATGTCTTCGCAGCTCCCCCCCTCCCCGGAAGGGGGAAGGGGAAGACCTAGACCCCCATGCTGGGGATCCACCCTGCAGTTCCTCGGCTGATGGGATAAGGTTTGGTCGTTGTGGCGCCAGCTCCAGATTTTTATTGTGCTGTGCCTGAGTTCAGTGCTTCTCTTAGGTGGTGTGCGAGCTGGGAGTAATATTCACAGGTACTCGGGCTGCATGTGCTTAGGGTATCTTCCCTGAGTGCCCTGTAAGTACCGCCCTAGAGGCTTGGGGTTACCTTCCAAAAGTCGCCTTGGATATACCTCTGTTGGGCTTTTGCTGCTTGGCGATTGTCTGCCTCCAGTGTTTTGTAGAGTTTCCTCTCTAGTTTGCCTTGGGGTAAGTGGTAGTTTTTGCTCTGGTAGGGGCGCAGAATACTGCGTATTTAGTTTTCACCTATAATAGCGGCCGGCTCTGTTCCCTCTGGATACGCTGTCGTCTTGCAAGGTTTTTCTTTTCTTTTTCTTTTTGTCTGGTGGGAGGGTCTGCCTTGTTGTTCCTTTCCCCTTTATATTAGGGTTGTTTGTGTTTGGTGGTACCCCCTGCTTCACCCTCGTGAGTGGACATGTCCTGGGGGGTTCAGCATTAGCAGTGTTGTTTGATAGTTTGGGTCAGTTAGCAGTACCCTGCCTGGGTAAACCTTTAGCAGACCCAGTCTAGGGGCTCCTGGGAAAAGGGGGGTTGCCCCTTCCGGGATGGCTACGGAGGCATTCGAGTCGGTTCCTTCAGCTGTGGCTCCGGGGTCTGACCAGTGGGCCCATCCTCTTTCTACCATTCCAGCCGCTCCGACTTTTTCTTGTGAGGCCGGGCTTTGGAGGACAACTCGTCCCCGGGACCTGAGGTGGAGGTTCCCGGGGTTGGGGAGGAGCTGACTTGGGGGCCCCAAGGCCCTAGTTGGACCCCGCTTGGGTTTTCCGACCCTCCGAGCGGGGCTTGTTGTTACAAGGAGTGGGGTTTTCCTTTTCCCCCTCTGCGTTCGAGTTGGATTTGGTTTCAGCTTCTCCCCGGGTTCGGATTCAGTGTCTTTGCGGGTACTTCGGTTCCGTCCTTCCGGAGGTTTTTGGCTTCCCGTGTCTCTCCGGTTGAGGTGCGGGCGGCTTACCTCTTGCATGACCCGGAGTATGCCTCTATAATGGATCCGTCTTCCTGCAGGTTTGGGTCTTCGTCTCCATACTGGGTTCATTATGAGGTTCTGGAGTTGTCCTGGCTTACGGGCTGCCCTCTGTTTTCGATGGATGCTTGGGACACCTGCCATACCCGCACACTTGAGTGGCATGTGGTGTTCACTGTGGTCCAGGTTTACCTAGGGATGGGCGATTTTGCACACCTTAACACTTTTGCGCCCCGGGCATGCGCGCCGCCAACTTAGAGGTCACGCCCCCGGCGTAGGCGATCATGCGGGTGAGCACGCGGCGACACCGAAATGTGTATACTTGTTTCAGTTTTCTCACCTTAATTCTCATGATACATCATTCGTTTTGGTATCATTGTGTTCGCAATAGAATTCCCTACAGGTGTATATGCATATAATGTCCAAAAGCCTGGCGTGACTCCCTGCAGCAAAGCCTAAAGTCGGCAAAAGTTACCTGTGAGCACACAAAATCCTTAAAATGTGTATACTCGTTTTAGTTTTCTCACTTTAATTCTCATGCTACGTCGTTCGTTTTGGTATCAGTATTCGCAAATAAATTCCCTACAGGTGTATATGCATATAATGTCCAAAAGCATAGTGTGGCTTCCCCTCAAAGCCTAAAATTACCCATGAACGAGCACCAACTTACACACCGCAACCTAATGTGTATACTCGTTCAGTTTGATAACATCAATTTTCGTGTTACGTCTTTCATTTTGGTATCAAATTGTTTGCAATATAAAGGCATGTATTTTAAACCTATTCCCTTAATAATAGAACAATAACTGGAATTTTAACAAATATTTTAATTTTGGACACTCATCATCACAAAATGATTTACATCTTTCCAGTGTTCTGACAAATTTTCGTGTTACATCTTTCATTTTAGTATCAAATTGTTTGCAATCTAAAGGCACGAATTTTAAAACTAGTCCCATAATAATAGCACAATAAATAGTATTTTAGCAAATATTTTAAAATTTTGACCTTTTTAAATTTTTTATTTTTTAATAATTTTTTTAATATATTTATAATCTTTCAAGTGTTCTGACATCAAGTTTCGTGTTACATCTTTCATTTTGGTATCAAATTGTGCACACTCTAAAGGCGCTCATTTTGAAACTATCCCGAAGTTGCTCGGAAAATAAATTAATTTTATACAAATATTTTTTTATCAGACGCACATCATGTCCGATGCTCGGACTTGAGAGAAAAAAATCGAACGCAAGTTGCATTTGAAGAGTGCTATAGTGTTAATGAGTGCCTTTTCGCTCTGGCTCTTCTGCGGGATATTGGCACAGTTCAGCTTCATGTGCAGGTTCCTTCCCTGTCGGCTGCGCCTGTGGCCCAACAAGGACTTGCACGCTCGGGGCTCGTTGGTGTCGGTCCTGCATTTCTTTTCCCTCCTTGAGCTGTCGTCCGACTGACTTACGGAGGATGTCGAGGCACTTGGGGCCGTTCCTGGGGTCTAGCGCCTTGACCTCGGCTGCTCATGCATCATCTGCACTTTTGAAGCTGTTTGCACCTATCCTGTGGGATGCGCTATTGCGTTTTTTTGCTGCATGCCTCGCGTGTCGGCAGGTGGTGCTCGCTTCTTCCTTGGAATCCACTTGGGGCCCAGGATCTTAGATCGCTCACACCTGGTCCTATGATTTGTGGGCTTTTCGGGTCGTTTCTCACGGCCTTCGGTGGCGTTAGTTGGCTCCTCCTCCTTCGGGGCTGGCTGGGCAGGCCTCTACTCCTGTGCTCTGTCAGGTTGTCTTGGAGTGGGTGCGCTTGGGCGTGGTCGAACCGATGATGTCCCTCAGGTGGTTTTCCCGCCTGTTTCCTGTTCCAAAACGGGACCGTGCGGACCTGCAGTTCATTCTGGACTTGTCCCGTCTGGGTATTCTGGGGGTAGCCCCGTCGGCTACCGGGGTTACCGGCTAGGTTCTGGCTCGTGGACCCCGGTAGGCAAGAACTCCAAGCCCTTTGACTGATGCTAGAAAGTTATACATATCCATTCAGCTCAGGGGAGCCTCCGGGACTCACCCAGAAAATGGCGTTTCATTATATTCAACGCTGGTTTTTTGCCCCTCCTTTCGGATGACCACTCTGTCCCAGGTCCGGCTCCAGTTGGAGCCGAGCACTTGGATGGTGTTCCTGGATCCCAAGGATGCGTATTGGCACGTCTCGATTCATCCGGGGTTCAGGGACCGGCTCGGTTTTGTTGTGGGGCGTCAGAGTTACCGCTTTCGTTGTCTCCCGTTCGGGTTGAACCTGGCACCTCGCGTTTTCACATGTCTTACTTGGGTTATAATGGTCCATCTGCATCTGTTAGGTGTTCGGGTGTTGGCTTACCTCGATGACTGGCTGGTTTGGGCTCCCAGTCAGTCTGCATGTTTGCTCGCCAGGGATTTGGTGCTTTCCCAGCTAGCCAGGTTCGGGTTCCTAGTGAACTGGAGGAAGTTTCCATCTGGTTTCCTCCCAGGTTCGGATCTGGCTGGGTCTTGTGTGGGACTCTAGAACCGCTTCCTTGTCTTTTCCTCAAGAGTCTCTTCAGCCTAGGTCCTGCATGTGCTTGTTTCTGGAGGGCTCCCGGGTCATCCGGAGGTTGCTCGAGGGTCTGTGCGGGAGCCTGAACTTTGCCATGAAGGTTCACCCGCTGGGTCGGGTTTGGCTTCATCTGCTATTCTGGTTCCTTCGGGGATGTCCCTTCCGCCTCTCACGGTCGCTGGGTTCGACTTCCCGGGGGTCCTTGTGTCGGTTGCTGCGTCGCTGGCTTCCTCTTCGGGTTTTTCGGGGTTCAGTGCCTTGGCGCCTACCCGAGCCCTTGCTCGGTGTGTTTATGGATGTGTCACCTTTTGGCTGGGGCCAGCCAGGGGCAGTGGGGTTCATCCTTCCGTCGGTCCCATGCATATGCATACACCACGAGCGTAGCTCTCATCCTGTAACTACACTTAGGTAATTACAGCACGGTGTGGTTTGTGCTGTGGAGGATTCGGGACGCCCACGGATCAACGATCCGGCTCCATTCGGACTGTTCCCCGGTGGTTCGTTGCCTGAACTGAGGTGGGGGGTTTGATGCGGTCCTTGGCTCTATGGGGCTGGTCGCTTCGGGTGACTCGTCTGCTGAGTTCTCTGGGTTTGGCTCTCCTGGCAGTTAACGTCCTGGGGGGGGGGGTGTTGTCCAACGTCCTGGCGGACGGCCTATCTCGGTTCGTTCCCGTCCATGGAATGGGCGGTCGATGCAGATTCGTTCATAAATACATAGTATTGTACATTGAGAACTAAAGTTTAAATAATTTTTTTTATCACAACACGCCCCATTTTCTATTTTAAGACTAAATATTAATAGGTTTGGTTTGACACAGGATGTTAAGGCATGCATACTGGTGCAGAACATCTGTGACTTAGTTCTGGCATGATTTTTGTTACTGTGTGTTCAACTTTTTCTTTAGCATAATGTCCTTTTGAAGGTGCGGTATCCATGCTTGGATACAGTAGTTCAGATGGGAAGTACCAGATATATGTACAGCTGACTAACAACTTTCTTCTCTTGTAGCTTCATTTATCATACTCCACCCCCCCCCCCCAGGGGGGGGAATATGGATAAATGTATACACAACAAGGAGTTAGCGGGTGATAGTGTTTCAGAGGCCATCATTTGTGAGAAAGCCTGGGTATTGTACGAAGACTTTGGAAAGAAAATCCCTAGAACGAGTGCAGATGCAATAGACTTTAAGGCAAGCAGGGGATGGTATGACAAATTTAGAAAAAGTGGTATTCATTCATAGTGTTGTGAGGTATAGGTAGGCTGCCAGCTCAGACAAACCCAGTGGCTGAAAGATTTATTGAAGAATTTAAAGAGTTTGTAAAGGCTGAGGGATACCTACTGCAACAAGTGTTTAATTGTGATGAGACAGGACTGTTCTGGAAAAGATTGCCTAAGAGGCATTACCAAGGAAGAGAAATCATTGCCCGGACACAAGCCTATGAAAGATGGGTTTACTCTTGTGCTGTGTGGAGATGCGAGTGGCAATTTGAAAATTAAACCCTTGCTTGTGTATCATTCTGAAAATCCAAGGGTTTTCAAACAGTATGGTGTGCAGAAAAACCAAATGTGTGTGATGTGGAGGGGCAAATAATAGGCATGGGTGACTAGGATTTTTTTTCGGAGTGGGTGAATGATGTGGTGTGCTCTGCCATACAAAAATATCTGCAGGAGAAAAAAATTTGCCACTTAAGGCCCTGCTTCTCCTCAACAATGCTCCTGCTCATCCTCCAGGCTTGGAAGATGCATTGTTGAACAGATTTAATTTTCTCACAATAAAGTTCCTCCTAACACCTCTCCTCTAATTCAGCCTATGGACCAGAAAATCATAGCGAATTTAAAGAAACTTTATGAAAGGGCACTTTTCCAGAAATGTTTTGAAGTGACTGAAGCCACAAACCTCACCCACAAAGAGTTCTGGAAACACCATTTTAACATTTGTAGTGCTTTAAAACTTGTTGACAAAGCCTGGCAAGAAGTGACTCAAAGAACCCTGCTCTCTGACTGGAGAAAATTGTGGCCTGAATGTGTGCCTGAACTAGACTTTGAGGGGTTTGAGCCTGTAAATGAAGTGCCTATTGTTGAGGAAATTGTTACTCTGGGCCGGAAGATGGTCTTGGAATTGGATGGTGCTGATGTGGAGGAGATTTATTATTATTATTATTATTATTATTATTATTATTTTTTCTACCACAGACGTGGCCACACATTTACAATGCTAACCAGCATATATACATTCTCTTCTGTCCTCCATGGACAGGGTTAGAGATGTGTTAAACATATAATTCAGGGGTTTATTGAACAATCAACCATAGGTGGTGGTTCAGTGCTTTTAAAATGCTAAGCTAACCTACATACGTAAATACAGTGGGGCCTCGACTTACGATGGTAATCTGTTCCCAGAGACGGATCGTAAGTCAAAATATCGTAAGTCGAAGCGATTTTTCCCATAAGAAATAAAGGGAATTGAATTAATCCGTTCCCCCACCCTCCAAAATATTAACTTACAAATACATTTTATACTGAATACAATGTTTTATTCTAACTACAATACAGTGCCTATGTTTATCTTACCTTTATGGAGGACTCATGATGCGTATGGAAGATGGTGAGGAGGAGGAGAGGTGTTACTGTTTGGAAGGAGAGTCCCCTTCCATTATAACATCAGGCAGTGATGACTTCTCTGGGGTACACTCTCTCCTACGTTTTGTCTGCAACTAGGACAATCACTAGGTTGTGATTCACTGCTTGTTTGTCTCACTAAAAACATTTCCAGAGATTTTTGTTTTTCCATATGTTTTCATTTTTGTCTGTAGTGAGGCATCAGTGTCATTAAAAAGGTTAAGGCAACGGCCTACTGCACCGTGATTTGGGTGAGTCATTTCAGCAAAAGTTTGCAATTCTTCCCATGCTGCACACATTTTCTTAATTAATGAGGAAGGGACATTCTGTACTGTCTCCTCCCCTGAAGAAATTTCCTCAGTTGTCTCATGTTGCTGCTCCTTATGAAGTTCTTCGGTGGTCAGTTCTTCACTGTGTTTCTCCACCAGCTCGCAACACACAACACTATGAATTCCACTTTTTTTTTCTAAATTTCTCAAACCATCTCCTGCTCGCCTTAAACTCTTTTTGCATTTGCATTACTCGTTCCAGGGGGTTTCTTTAAAAGGTCTTCATGCAATTTCCTTGCTTTTTCACAAATGATGGCCTCTGAAACTCTATCACCCGCTATCTCCTTGCTGTGTATCCAAATTAATAATAACTGTTCAACATCCTCAAGTGTTTGTGTTCTGTTTCGTGATTATTGATACGCTTTTTGCCACTATAGCACTTATAATGTCCTTTTCCTTAGCCAGTATAGTGGATATCATTGACTGAGATTTATTGTACTGCCTAGCTAGTTCAACAACCCGCACACCATCTTCATATTTACGAATGATCGTTTGTTTTTGCTCTAAGGTCATCCTTACATGGGTTTTCATATGTTGAACCTTACCACTGATTTTCTTGGGACTCATGGCGTGATATATAATAATTACTTTTATGTTCAAAAAGCAAAAAATCACCACAAAAACGGAATTTCTTATAGGCGTGATCGTCACTTAGTGAGCAGCTGTAGAAAACTGAGGCAGGTCGGCCCGCGTGACCGGGAAACGCGCGCTCAGTCGACCCAAACATGTACCAACAAATATCATTAGTCGACGACACCATCGTATGTCGAGTCGCATTTTTCGATCAAATTTACATCGTAAGTCGAGGTGCCACCGTACATAAACAGATTTACGTATGCCCTACATAAAGTGTTCAATGTGTCTTTTACATAGTGTCATTAATGTGCATTTACAAAGGTGAAATGTAATTCTGATCAGCGTCCATATATACTGTATACACATACATACACACACACATACGTACATATACATATATACATACATATATACACACACATGCATTTGCATACATTTGTCTCTTTTACTCTGACAGGGTGAGATAGCTGATAGAGAAACTAGTGTGCAATTAAGGACTTAATCACTGAAGGTGATTAAGGTGCTTTTACAAGCTCAGGTTATATAGTTACATCACATACATACATATATACATTGTATAATTGATACATTACATGGTCAGTCTTGGGTACAAGTCCAATATATCATCAAGTGTTCCAGTACTCGTATAGTAATTACAGAGTTCAGCATACCTTAGCCCAGGAGGGCGAAAGTCAGTCAGTATGGGACATTCTACAATATAATGTTCAAGAGAGTGCATGTTTTCTCTTTCACAAAGTTGACACATTGTGTACTAGAACACAACGAAGAACTGACCACGGAAGAACTCCAAGCCCTTGAAAAGGAGCAGCAACAAGAGGCAGCTGAGGATATTTCTCCAGAGGAGGATGAGGCAGAAGAGAAAGTCCCTTCCTCAACATTTAGAAAGTGGTGTCAGATGTGGGAAGAAATGCAAACTTTTATTGAAACAACTCGCCCAGAGAAAGCTGTAGTAGGCCGTTGCATTAATCTTTTCACTAACAATGTGATGTCTCACTACAGACAAATGTTGCGAAGAAGGGAAAAACAATCTTTAATGGATCGTTTTGTTGTGAAAAAATCAAGCAGTAAGCCACAACGAGGACCTAGTGGTATGCAGGCAAAATGTGCCAGAGTGTGCACTCCAGAAAAAGCTTTACTGCCTGATGTTATAATGGAAGGGGGAATTCCCCTTTCAAACAGTAATACCTCTCCTCCTTCCCCATCCTCACCATCTTCCATATGCCAACAAGAGTCATTAGCAAGGGTATGTAATAACTTGAACATACTTTTGTAGTGTAGATTTGGATGAATTGGGTATAAAATTTACTTGGTAGTGAAGTTTTTGGGGAGTCAGAAACGGATTAATTCATTTCCCATTATTTCTTATTGGGAAACTAGCTTTGGTTTACGAATTTTCGGGTTACGAACCGTCTCTAGGAACGAATTAAATTCTTAAACCGAGGTACCCCTGTATTTTTATTCAGGCTTCGGCTAATGTAAGGTTCTTAAATAAAACCTTTTATACACTTAAAAAAAAAAAAAAAGCTAAGAATCATCAAGAACAAAGATTATTTTGTAATTAACTGTTATTAAACTTGAATTTCATTATACTATTGACTTTTGATTATTAACAAGTTTTATCCTTCAACAGGACAAAGGATGCAGTTGCTGTCATTGTCAAGAAGCCAAAAACTCCTGGAGATGTGTTTGAATATGGCATAATAAACTGATACTGTAGATAATACTTTGGAATCCCAATATTTGTACAGCATGTAAATTACATTAGATAAATCATAGTTTTGATTTTATTTACCGTTGATAAAAATAAAATTTGCTCCTTTACCTGGGCTATCATACTGTAGTTTAATTTATAGACTCCAAAGTCTTAAAATACAGATGGTATTTTTTTATTCACAAGCTGATCTATCTTGAGGTTATCTTGAGATGATTACGGGGCTTTAGTGTCCCCGCGGCCCGGTCCTCGACCAGGCCTCCACCCCCAGGAAGCAGCCCGTGACAGCTGACTAACACCCAGGTACCTATTTTACTGCTAGGTAACAGGGGCATAGGGTGAAAGAAACTCTGCCCATTGTTTCTCGCCGGCGCCTGGGATCGAACCCGGGACCACAGGATCACAAGTCCAGCGTGCTGTCCGCTCGGCCGACCGGCTCCCTGATAGTTATAATTTCAAATTCCTGGGTCAAGTACTAATAAGTGTCTCACTTGGAAATTTGGTTTCTATCCATTTATGGAAGACTCCAGACCATGTCAACCTAAAAGTGTATGTTTTACTCTACACATCCCCCAAGGACTTCCGCCCTATTGCTCTCACGAGTTGTGTCTGCAAGCTCTTTGAACGCATGGTCAACGTTCGTTTGATGTGGTTCTTAGAGCACTATCGCCACCTCTCCCCTTCTCAATTTGGTTTTCGCAAGTGCCGCAGCACAACAGATGTCCTGGTGAACTTGGAGGTCTATATTCGTACTGCTTTTGCTGCGAAGACCTCCGTTGTTGCCGTCCTTTTTGACCTGGAAAAGGCTTACAACACTACCTGGCGGTATCATATTCTGTCTCAACTTCATTCTTTTGGCCTTCGTGGGAACCTCCCTCTCTTCCTCCGGAGCTTCCTCTCTTGTCGTTCCTTTCGTGTGCGGCTTGGTACTGCTCTCTCTGCCCCTTTTCAGCAGTATGAGCGTGTACCCCAGGGTAGTGTTCTGAGCACTACTCTTTTTCTAGTTGCCCTCAACGGTCTTCTTTCCTCTCTTCCTTCTGACGTCTTCTCTGCTTTCTATGTTGATGATCTTACCCTTTGCTGTCGGGGTGATGATTCCCCTCTCCTTCAACGGTGGCTTCAACTTGCGATTGATGCCGTGTCGTCTTGGGCCACCGATCATGGCTTCAAGTTCTCTGCGTCTAAGACTTGTGCTATGACTTTTACTCGGAAGCATGTCGTTCTTCGTCCCTCTTTGTCGCTTTATGGTCATCCCATTGTGTACAGGAATTCGCGAAGCTTTTGGGGTTGGTCTTTGACACTCGTTTGTCTTGGTCAGCCCATATCTCTTACCTCCGAGTTGAATGCTATAAGGCCCTTGACCTCCTTAAGGTTTTGTCCCATACTTCTTGGGGAGCGGATAGGCGCACGCTCCTCTATTTGCACTCCTCTCTCGTCCTGTCTAAACTCGATTATGGTTGCCCTGCATACTCTTCTGCTTCTCCTTCTACTCTTCACCGTCTTGATGCTTTGCACCATACTGGGTTGCGTCTCAGCTCTGGTGCCTTTCGTTTGACTCCCGCCCTTAGTTTGTATGTTGACACTAGCTTTCTCTCTCTTCAGGACCACCGTGATCGCTACTGTCTTCGCTATCTTGCGAGGTCCTTCCAACATCCTTCCTCTCAGGTCCTTCCAACATCCTTCCTCTCGCCTCTGTCGTGCATTGACTTTTCCTCCTCCTGTGGTTCCTGTTCCACTTCATTGTCTCCCACTTTCTGTCCGGTTATCTCACTTTCAGGATTCTCTTTCTGTTCATATTTCTAATGTTTCTCCTCGCATTGTTCCTTCCTTACCTCCGTGGAGAGTTCCCCTTCCCAAGTTTTGTACGTCCTTGACTTGTATTACTAAAGCCTTTACCCCTCCTACTATTCTGAAAAGCCTCTTCCTTGAGCACTTTTCTTCGCACTCCCACTCTATTTCCATCTTCACTGATGGGTCTAAGTCTGCGGACGGTGTGGGCTACTCTGTTGTTTTTCCTGACCGTACTTATATGTGTCGCCTCCCTTCGGAGGCTAGCGTCTTTACGGCAGAACTTTATGCTATTCTCTATGCTCTTCGTCTCTTGCTTTCTCATTCTCATTCCTCCTTTGTGGTTGTAGTTGATTCTCGTAGTGCCCTCATGGCTCTAGGGTCCTTTAATCCTGTCCATCTGGTGGTCATCGAGATTCAACATTGGCTGTTTCTTATTTCTAGTAAATTTAAATCGGTAGTTTTGCTGGGTTCCCAGCCATATTGGTGTTTCTTTCAATGAGCGTGCGGATGCTGCCGCTAAGGAAGCTATCCGTTCTTGTCCCATCTCCCGTAAAAGTATTCCTTATTCCGACTTTTATCCTGTTATTCATTCTTCCATTCTTGCCCGTTGGCAGGGTTGTTGGTCCTCTGTGGGTTGGTAACAAGCTGCGTACTCTCAAACGTAGTGTCCCCGTGGCCTTCCTCCTACCACCGTAACCGGCGGTGGGAAACTGCTTTGGCACGGCTGCGGGTTGGTCATACCCGCTGAACCCACGGTCACTTAATGGAGCGCCGCCCTGCTCCTTATTGTCCGAACTGCGTTGTCCCTCTTACAGTTGTGCATATCTTTGTTGAATGTCCTGACTTCCAGGACGAGTGTTTGTCTTGCCTTCCGGCTGTCCCTCGCGGTCACTTGTCCCTCGATAGAATTCTAGGTGAATCGGATACTTTTGATATCGTTCACCTTATGCGTTTTTGTTCTCGTATTGGCATTCTTGGTGATATTTAGCGCCCTCTAATTATTTCGCACTTTGATGGTGCTACATAGCCTTCCCGGTTTGGTGCCTTCTTTTGATAATTACCTTACCTTACTCTACACATTAGTATTATGTATTAAGAACATTGTCCACATCTTATTTGTTTACATTTCTCATATGCTTGTGCATTTCTATTTTCAGACAGCTATTGTTGACTTTTGAATCTGTTGTAGAAAAACACGAAGGTTAGAGTTTATTTTGAGACTAGATGTGCCCAGGTAACCCCCAGACTGGGGTTGTGTGCAGTATAGGAAGGACTGCAAAGTTTTTCTGAAAAGAATCACCCAGATAAAGCTGTAACAGCCTGTTGCATTGATTTTTTTAATGACAATGTGATGCCTCACTACAGACAAGTGTTGGAAAGAAGGGAAAAACAATGTTCAATGGAACGATTTCTAGTGAGAAAATCAAGCAGTGAGCCAGAAGCAGGTCCTAGTAGTATGCAGGCAAAATGTGACAGAGTGTGTACCCCAGAGAAGTCCTCACTGCCTGATGTTATAATGGAAGGGGACTCCCCTTCCAAATAGTAACACCTCTCCTCCCTCCTCCTCATCATCTTCCATACGCCATCAAAAGTCCTCCATAAATGTAAGATAAACATAGGTACTGTATTGTAGTTAAAGAAAAAAATTGTATTTAGTATAAAATGTATTTTTAAGTTAATATTTTGGAGGGTGTGGAACGGATTAATTCAATTCCCTTTATTTCTTATGGGAAAAATAAATTTGACTTGCGATACGTCTCTGGGAACGGATTTCCAACGTAAATCGAGGCCCCACTGTATATATCTTGCCATGGGGTCCTAAAAGAGTCAGTGGTAAGGTTCAACCTAAGAAAATAGTTTTGAGTAGAGGATGTCCATTCCTCATTAAGAAAATGTGTGATGTATGGGAAGAACTGCATAGTCTTGTTGAAAAAACTCGCCCAGATAGAGCTGTAGCAGGCCGTTGCATTGACCTTTTAAATGAAAATGTGATCTCTCACTATAGACAAGTGTTAAAATGTAGGGAAAACAAGTATCTTTAGACAGATTCTTGGTAAGACAAGCAAACAGCGAGTCACAACCAGGTCCTAGTAGTACTGCAAAACGTAGGAAAAAGAGTATCCCAGAGAAGTCATCACTGCCTGATGTTATACTGGAAGGTACTCTCCTTCCAAACACTAACACCTTTCCTACTACCCCTTCTTCACCGTCTGCCATACACCAACAAGTCATCAATAAAGGTAAGCAATAACTTATACATACTTTAGTACTAAAGATTTGGGGGAATTAGGTATAACATTTACTTTGAAGTTAATATTTTTTGGAGTGTGGAAAGGATTAATTCAATTTACATTATTTCTTATGGGAAAATATGTTTCGGTTTACGAATTTTCGGGTTATGAACCATCTCTGGGAACGGATTAAATTCGTAAACTGAGGTAACACTGTACAGTAGTGTGAAATTGTTTTTGGATTACCAGCTACTAATTTGTGCTGTGTATAATGATAGAGACACCTTCAGTGTGTCCAGATGAAGACCTGTTCACCATACCCACCAGGGAGGTTGTCCTCCCTGTTCGCAAACCAGGGTCTCTGGGAACTTCCCCTAAGGACTTTTGCCCTATTGCCCTCACAAGTTGTGTCTGCAAACTCTTTGAACGTATGGTTAACGTTCGTCTGATGTGGTTCCTAGAACACCATCACCACCTCTCCCCGTCTCAATTTTGTTTCCACAAGTGCCGCAGCACGACAGATGTCCTGGTGAACTTGGAGGTCTATATTCGTACTGCTTTTGCTGCGAGGACCTCCGTTGTTGCCGTCCTTTTTGACCTGGAAAAGGCTTACGGCACCACTTGGCGATATCATATTTATTTATATCATATTCTGTCCCAGCTTCATTCTTTTGGCCTTCGTGGTCATCTCCCTCTCTTTCTCCGCAGCTACCTCTCTCGTTGTTCCTTTCGGGTGCGCCTTGGTACCGCTCTCTCTGCCTCTTTTCAGCAATACGAAGGTGTGCCCCAGGGTAGTGTTCTGAGCACTACTCTTTTTTTTTTTCTGGTTGCCCTCAATGGTCTTCTTTCCTCTCTTCCTTTAGGTGTCTTCTCCGCTCTTTATGTCGATGATCTTACTCTTTGCTGTCAGGGTGATGATTCGCCTCTCCTTCAGCGCCGGCTTCAACTTGCGATTGATGCCGTGTCGTCTTGGGCCACCGATCATGGCTTCAGTTCTCTACTTCTAAGACTTGTGCCATGTCTTTTACTAAGAAACGGGTCG